ACAGCAGATACATAGATGTAAGCACATAAAAATGTTTTCAGCATCACTAGTCTGTAGTGAAATGCAAATTGAAATAATAATGTTATGTCCCTACACACTAGAATGGGGAGGTGGATACACTGACAATGTCAAGGCTGAGGAGTAACTGTTGGTGGCAATGGTAATAGCCACTTTGGGAAACAATTCAGCATATTTTTGTAACTTAAACAAACTATTTGGCCCCAAAATCCCACCTCTACCTCTTGATCCAAGGTAAACTAAAACATATGTCCTCAGAAAATCTGATTGTAAATATTGATAGAAGCTTTATTCATAATAGCTAAAAGGTAGAAACAAGTCATATTTCCATCAACAAATTTAAAAATAAAGTGTGGTATACATACATATAAGAGAATAATTAGTAATTACCCATTGATAATGTCATGGACAGATATCAAAAGCATATGCTACATGAAAAAAAGCCAATCAAAAGAGTCTATATGTTTTACCTTTCATTTTTATTACATCTAGGAAAAGCAAAACTATTGACTCAGAAATCAATCACTAGTTTCTAAGATTTGGAAGTAGGGTAAGGGAAATCATTTCAAAGAGAACTTTCTGAAAGTGATAGAATTATGCTATATCATTTTTGTGGCATTACTCATATGACTAGATGCCTCTGCAAAATTCACCAAAATTTATACTTTAAAAAAATTGATGTTACTATGTAAATTACTCCTTTATAAATCTGACTTTTAAACAAAACAGTGGTATATTCTGAGATTTTTGACTTGGAGCCAAGAAATAGTATCACTTAGTTTAGATATTAATTGTATTATGAATAATGATATTAGATTTTTAAATTTAAATATTATGGAAATAAAGCTATAATTAATAAATATTTGTTTAAAAATGTGTAACATGGCCTAAAAAATCAAAAAATTCTCAGATACAAATTTTACAAAAGATGCATAATACTTCCACATGAAAACTACAATACATTGCTGGGAGAAATCAAGGAATAATTAAATAAATGGAGATATATACCATATACATGGATCAGAAGATTTGACACTATTAAAATGTCAATTCTCCCCAAATGATTTATAAATTTTAATCCAATACCAATCTAAATCTCAGCAGCTTTTTTCTTTTTTTGGTAGAAATTGGCACACTGTTTCTAAAACTTATAAGGAAATGCAAAAAAAAAAAATTCTCTGTAAAGTTACCGTAATGAAGATAATGTGCCATTGGCATACAGACACATATAGCAGTATAGACAAAGAAATAAATAGAACAGAAAAGAGTATCCAAAAATAGTAACAGGTGTATATGGTAAATTGATTTTTGTCAAATTTTCCAAAGTGATTCAGTCATTTTCCTGTATGGGAAAATAATCTACTCCCATACCTACATCACTGAGGCACAAACAATTCTAGATGAGGGTTGAACCTAAACTTAAGAACTAAAAATACAAAGTTATTAGAAGAAAATATTCACAGTCCTTGGTAGGCAAACATGTTATAGACAAGACAAAGGGATGACATTATAAAAGAAAAACTGATAATGTTAACTCAAGATAGTTAAAATTTTCTGTTCTTCTAAAAATACAGTTAAGTAAACAAAACAGCAAGGCTCATAATGGAAATATTCATATTATATCTCCAATAATTTATGTTCAGAATATAAAAATAATTCTTACAATATTTAATTATAAGAAATCAACTCAAAACAAAGTGGGCAAATGCTATCACAGAATAATATATACATATGACCAGTACAGATGTGAAAAAGTGTTTAGTATCATTTATCATTAAAGATACAGAAATTAATAACACAATGTAACTCTACTACACTCCCAAATGAATGGCTAAAGTTTAAAGAGATTATCCACTCCAAATGATGAGGCACAAAGCCAGAATTCTCATGTTTTTATTTTTTATTTTATTTATTTACTTTTTTTTATATACTGCAATTTTATTTCAGTTGCACAAAGGAAGTTAGTATGTAGGAAATTTAAATGAAACAGTATGGTAAAAGTAGCAGAGAACCAAAAACTCTAATAAGGAAGTACACCTAAAATATGAGAATTCAACATTCATTAGTGTTACATCTTCAGTTATGATTGACACTTGATGCTTGCAAATTTTGAAACCAACTTTGAGATCATGATGACTATCCTGAAGAGATTTCAGCACCAGCACTAAGATTTGTACATTCACTTGGTTTGCAATTGACTTGTTAACCATTTACATAGTGTATAGTACAGATTTGTCCCAGGTCAGATCACAGTGTTGAAGGAAAGAGGTACCTTCTTGTAATTAGAAAGGATCCCCTAAACTGCACTCAGCTTAAGACATCCAATGTACAAGAGCACGAAAACCATCATAATATTGCGGCTCCAAGGAACATAGTTTTGATAAGGAAAATAACCTAAGCTTCTGTTTCCCATTTTGATTACTGAAATCTCTAACAATGACAAATGTTACAACAACATTGCAAAATAGTTTGTTTTTCATAAAGTTAAACGTGCACATATTGTGTGATGGAAACATTCAACTCATAGGTATTTATCCAGAAAAATGAAAACATAGCCATGCAAATACTGGGGTACAAATATTAATAGGAGCTTTACAAATAATAGCCCCAAACTGGAAACAAATTGACTGCTCATCAACAGAAAAATAGACAAATTATGTTATATTCGTAGAGGAATATTATTTATAAACAACAAGAAATAAATTACTGCTACTAAGAAATATGGATTAATTTCAAAATATTATTTTTTTCAAAAGCAGCCCAAATTATATATACTGTATGCCCCAAATCTTACACACTTGTTGATTCCATTTATATGAAATTCTATAAATTGAACATGACAGAATAAATTACAATATTGTTAACTCTGAGGAATGAAGGGTAAGGTACTCTGAAGGTACAGAAATGTCCTGTATATTGATAGGGATGCGATTACATGGAAGTGTGCCTTTGAAAATCCATTGAAATGTAAGGAAATCTGTACGTTTTAGTAAATGTCAATATTATCCTTTAAAAAAAAAAAAACCTTAATTAAAGGGAATAGAATTCTCATACATCCTAGACAGAATCCTATTCTATTTACTGGCATACAGTTAATTGTGGGCATCAACTAAATAAGTGTTACACAAAATCAATCATAGTTAAGAGAATTTAATTAATGTATTTTAATAGGGCTCCAATGTGAAATCATTTTCTAAATGTTGACATAGGTGCTAGAATATTTTATCATTATATATAATAATTTATAAGAATGTATTTCCAACTTTTTGATCTGTGTGCTACTTTTTAGTAGTTTCCAAAATGTAATTTTGTCCCTAATACCCATGAAGATGTACCAAGTAATGACTGATATTAATTTAGCATATAGTTCAGTCATATTTATAATAATGATAAGAACTGACATTTATTATGACACCATGTACCAGATACTGGGTGAAGATACTTCATTTAATCCTTACTGTAATCCTTTGTTATAGATAAGAAAATATGTAATATTTTTGTTAAATAATTTCCTCAAGTTTCAACTACTTATAATGAACAGAAACAGAATCTAACTAGAGCCTCCCTTACTTCAGATTTAGTATTCTTAAGTGTTATGCATTACTGTCTACTAGAAAATGTAAGGATTTTATTGATAATACAATGATAATTAATTAGATAGAAATCAATACCCTTCATTAATATAGAAGTAAAAGTGGAGATGTATACATAATGAAAATAGTAAAAAAGCCAGAGCAGTCTACATTTATAAAAAATATCTAAAATGTGTCCAGATTCATATACAAGATATTAAAACATCTTTTCTATAACCTTTAAATTCTTACAATTTCAAGGAATGAGAAAGGTGAGACTTAGGATAGTGTAATTTTGGAACTGAATACAAACATTTCAGAGTAGAATTTTTCTGCATAAAATGAAATCTATTGGTTGAGATCTTTAACTCACATATTAAACATACACACTAGTTTCAGAGTCAATTATTGAATATAGTTACATATTTATTAAAAACATATGTTAAACATTCTCTTTTCGAAAAACATTTGGGAATGCTTCTAGAAATATATGGTCTTAGTATGTGCACTCTTGGTATATACCTAGAGAAGTTTTTCACATACAATAAGAACCATGTATAAGACAAGTAATATCAGCAATATTAATGATACCTGAAGCTATAAAAAATAGAAAAGAACCCAAAGCCATTGGAAGTTGTATGCATTAGTTAGCTAAAATACATTTATTTTCTTATCACAGTGAAAATGAATTAATTTTTTCTGTACTTCTTTACATGGATGAATCTTTAAAACACAGCACCAAAAAAAGAAAATTCACAGAAACTGCATATAATATTAGGCCACTTATATTTACAATGCCCATGAGTCAAAAATACAAAGATGTAGTTATATACATAAATATAGATAAATGGCCAAACTGTATTTGGTAAAACTATAAAGAAAACAGAGGAAAAAATAATACAAAATTCAATGTTGATCAGCTCTGGGTGGAATGGAGAGGAATGTCACAGTGAGGCACATGTAAAGCTTATTTCTTCAAGGTGGGTAGCTCTTAAATTAGTGTTTAGTTTATTACTTAAACTGACTATATACTTAAGATATCAATATATCAATATTTGATATATCTTACAACACCAGTTGAAAAATATTTGGTCCAATTATTTTGATGTATTCATATATTAATAGAGATATCTGTGTACATACACATACATATCTTCATTCATTATTTCAAATTATGTTCTAATTACCAACTAAGCACACTTTTCATAGTTTTGCTTATCAGTGTCTTCCTTTAAGGGTTTTACAATTTTTACTTTTATAAAACTTTCTGTTTTCCTAAGTCATAGTCATATTATCCTACATTTCATTTAAGGTTTAATTTTTTTCTTCCACAAATTGGAAGTGCTTATTTTTTATGGTTGTGAGGTAGCTAAATAAGTGTACTTTTATTTTCAGAGCCAGATGACATACCTCTGTCTTCAGCTGTTTGTTGCAGTGTCTGTCCATTCTCCCCACTGGCCTGCCAATGACACTGTCTTTTAGCAATTTGCATGGTTTTCAAAGGATGCAAATTGTATTAACACATTTCTTTTTCAAAATTGTTACATGGTTTAATATGTCAGCAATGTTAGTATATTTTGATTTATGTGTTTGAAAATGATATGTATTCTTTAAGTTTACTGCAAAATATATATACATATATATATAGTTAAACTCAAGTGTTTTTCTTTTGTTCTTTGAAACACTTTTATCATTATTGACTTTTTGGTCTGCATAATAAAATGTTTCTGAGAGAGATCTGTTACCATTTTCTTCCATGATTATATTTTTTGTTTATTTTGAATGTATTTAATTAGGTGCATACAAGTTCCAAATGGTTACCTCACTGGGTGACTTTATCATCATGACAGCTTTTTGTTTTAAAGTATATTTTGTCTGATATCAACAGTTCTGCCAGATTTCTTTTGGTTAGTATTGTCTATTTTTTATTGTATTTTATTATTTTAAAAGTTTCTATATCTTTATATCTTATATGTGCCTATTAGAAATAGCATAAAGATTATTTTTTCTTATTTCACTCCAGTATGATAACATTGTTTGTTTATCTCATTTATGCCACTTTGGTTATTAATATATATTTTTACCACTTTATTGTGTGCTTCAAATTTGTCCTAATTTTTCTGTTTTTAATCCTTTGTAATCTACTTTCCAGTAGATTAAGGGTTTATTCTTATTAAATTTCCGTTCTAATTTTACATCTGTACACTAAATTTCTTTTATTTTTTCTTTTCTTTTATTTATTTATTTATTTATTTTTTGCGATATGTGGGCCTCTCACTGTTGTGGTCTTTCCCGTTATGGAGCACAGGCTCCGGACGTGCAGGCTCAGTGGCCATGGCTCACAGGCCTAGCCGCTCTGCGGCATGTGGGATCTTCCCGGACTGGGGCACGAACCCATGTCCCCTGCATCAGCAGGCGGACTCTCAACCACTGCGCCACCAGGGAAGCCCTTCTTTTATTTTTTTAATCTAGAAATGTTAACATGCTTGTGTAACTCTGGAAAATCTAAAAACATTTGGCATCTTCACTTTCTTCCTGAACGTTACAAGAACTTTTATTTTATTTATTTATTTATTTATTTATTTAATTTTTGGCTGTGTTAGGTCTTTGTTGCTGCGCACAGGCTTTCCCGCGAGCAGGGGTTACTCTTCTTTGTGGTGCGTGGGCTTCTCATTGTGGTGGCTTCTCTTGTTGCAGAGCATGGGCTATAGGTGCGCAGGCTTCAGTCGTTATAGCTCGTGGGCTCTACAGCGCAGGCTCAGTAGTTATGGTACACGGGCTTAGTTCCTCCGTGACATGTGGGATGTTCCTGGACGAGGGCTCAGACCCATGTCCCCTGCATTGGCAGGCAGATTCTTAACCTCTGCACCACCAGGGAAGCCCTATAAGAACTTTTAAATGCTTTAATTCCAATCAAGTCTTGCAAGTTTATGTCTATAAGCTACGGTGATGATGATGAAGCTTGAGGTTTTGTTAATCAGTCAAATTTGACATTTTATGTTATTACAGAGTCGTGTCCTCATGTGTACTATTTGCTTTGTCATCATTCCTTATTGAATCTTAAACCTTCCTTCTGAGATAATTTTCTTTCTTTCTAAGAACTTCCAAAGTAACAATGTTAACCTCCTCAACTTTAGTTGTTTGAAAACATTTCTGTTTCACACTTGTCGAAGAGTCATTGAGGCTAAGGTGATGTGAAATAATATGTAGGAAGTGTCATGTACTCAGTGTTCCTAATAGGTAACATTTTCACATTTTCACTTCCTCTACCCAGAGCAAAGTTGAAAACAGAAGACATGCCTTATCTTTACGCTTTGTTTGGCAGGATGTGAGTGTGAGTGTGTGTGTGTGTGTGTGTGTGTGTGTGTGTGTGTGTGTGTGTATCTTGGTTCACCCTATACAACTGTCATGTTTTGGAGCCTTAATTTCTTTAGGAGTATTTTGTCATACTGAAAAAAAAACTACGTGGTATTACTTATGATTTAAAAGGAACATTACAGCAGATTAAAGGAGGCAAAGGGTTAAAGACTATTGAGACTATTTAGAAAGCTATTGCAATAATCCAGTGGGAGTGATGGTTGTTTAGACAGGGGTGGGAGTGATGGAAATAGGAAGAAATGGTCGCCTCATGGATATTTTTTAAAGTATATCTGACAGAAATGTCTGATGAACTGGAAGTGCAGCATGACAAAAAGAGAAGGTTCAAATATGACCCTGGGTGATTTTCATAGTGATCTGAAGAATATGACTATCATTGTTGAGATGGATAAAGTCTCTGGAGGAGCAAATTTACAGAGAAATTGGATTTTGAGGAAAAGTTTTACTTGGATCACGTTGAGTTTGAGACCTCAGAGAAAAGACATCAGTGTGGCTAATATGGTATTCAGGGAAAAGGTGACAAAGCTGCTGCAGATTTAAATTCAAGAGTTATCTCTATGTAGATGTTAACAAAAGTCCATTAGATTGAATGAGATTACTCGGGCAATAACTCAAGAAAAGTCTGAGGACTGAAAATTGGGAGGCGCCACAATTCAATGAATGAAGAGATTGGGAGGAGTTAAGCAGCACACTGAGAAAGGAGAATCCGTGAAGGAATAACAATGTTGTTTCCTTTAGCTAAAGAAAGAAATTGTTTCTTGAAGGAGTTGTGTCAATTGTGTCAGATTTGCAAATTTTTTGAGCAAATGGAGGCATGAGAACTATATATTGGATTTTGAAGTATGAAGGACAAGAGTTATTTTAGTGAAGTAATAAAGATAAGACTCTTTAGAGTGAGGTTGAAAGAGCCTGAGAGAAAAGGCAGACTGTGAATATAGGCAATTCTTTCAAGGAGTTTTTCAGTCAAGGGAATGAAATAGTAGAGGTGTATCTGGAGGGAAACACTGCATCAAGGAAGGTTTTTGGGTTTTGTTTGCTTGAGTTGATTTTATTTTCAGATAGAAAATAAAGCCTGTTTTGAGGACAGGGGAATTATGTATCAGATAAGGAAAAATAAAAATACAGGAAAGAGGAGAAATTATTAATGGTGCAATGTCTCAGAGTGATCAAGGGAGGACAGGATTCAGGGCACACATAGCGGGGTGGGCATAAGCATGGCATGAAGAGTTCTTTCACAGTAACATGACAAAAGTCAGATTTATGGGGATTATTGCCCACAGTACTAGTTAGGTTGGTAGATATGATAGAAGGAAAATGTGGATATTCTTTTCGACCGATCTTATTTTATGTCACTAGAGAAGCAAGATTATCTGATGCATGTAAGGAAATTTGAAAAAGTATTGAAAAATTGTAGAGAGAGGAAAAACGATAAAATACATATTTAGCAGGACTGTATGTAATTGCTTGAGTTACTTGAGTTTCTTTCTTTTTTTTTTTTTTTTTTTGCTGTATGCGGGCCTCTCACTGCTGTGGGCTCTCCCGTTATGAAGCACAGGCTCCGGACGCACAGGCTCAGTGGCCATGGCTCACAGGCCCAGCCACTCCACGGCATGTGGGATCTTCTAGGACTGAGGCACGAACCCATGTCCCCTGCATCAGCAGGTGGACTCTCAACCACTGCGCCACCAGGGAAGCCTGAGTTTCTTTTGAACAAACAAATGTGTTCTAATTCTTTTAGAATTTGATACTGAGATTGGGATAGTGAAATTAGTAATCCCTCAATGTATTGACATATTGGGTAAACAATGACAAAAATAGACTGTATTAGATATTATAATTGTCTGATCAAACTCCTCGTTGTGTGTAGAATCCAACAGTTTTGAATGGAATTGACTGCACGTGAAGATAAAAATATGAACCTCAAAGGTCCTGAGCCAATGTGGACAATCCCATACATTTTGCTACACTAAGTAATTAAATTGTGGGCACATTTCGCATATTAAATATTATTTTTAAAGACAGTGAATGGAGGTTAGCTCATAAATGACTTAATTGGAGCAATGTTTTTAATGGTTATCCAAAGTGACAATTTATCTCACCCTGGGTGTGAATGAGGTTGAGTGTATCCCACCTTAAGGTGGCATTCATCCTGTTAATATACTAAAAGTTAACATAGTACTAGTTGCTTGTTACTATAATATAGCAACATTAAAGCAAAATATGAGATAAAGAGAAATGCAGAAATGGAAAAATCACAGAGAAATGGAGATAGATACCTGATCTAAGTAAGCCTGAAGCCCGATTCACCTATGAAATTTTCAGGTAAATGAACCAATAAATTTATTTCAAATCTTAGACCAAATTGAATTATTTTTTGATATTTTGGAGTAATCTCTCATATGGCTATAGGTAACTAATACACTGACCCATGCATGTATAAATAAAAATTTCAGAAAAATATTTTATTGTATTACTTTTGATCATTGGTTAAAGCAATGCCAGTTTCTTTGTGTGTTATTCCCTTTGTGTGCCAAGGAAAAAGGGCCCATTAGGAAACTTTGTGTGTTAGGGAAATTGCTAATATGAACACATTGTGGAAGACAAATTTTATATATCATAATAAGCACACTGACAATAACAAAAGAATGTGTAGAAGGCAAAGGGACTTAAAACCACCCACTCTTCAGTAACAGCATTTTATATTGCTAGCTGCAGGTGCTAACAAAAATTAATTTCAGATTAAAAGGCAACAAGGAATGAGTTCATAAAATCTAAATTTAATTTCCATTGCCTGCAGTTAACAATAGGACTAAATTTGAAATTTGTGGATCCTAATCTTTGAATACATTTGCATGAGAATTGAGGGGGAAAAATGAGAAAGATTCAATGAATAAAGAACATGTACACATTGGTTTCTGGACTTGAATTATGCATATAATCTGAGAGAAAAAAATGAAACAGGGAGCTGAGGCAAATTTTCTTATCAATGCACAAACATGCAGTTGTTGTTATTTTTGCTAAAACTGTGAACTCTGGAGACAGCAGAACCTTTTGGACTCATTAGAAGTATGAATAAACAAGCATCTCTTCAACTTTGACTCCTTTGGAAGTAGA